TAATATTCCCAATATTTGAAATATCTGCACAAGGTCTTCTGTAACACTTTCTTCTGTCAAAAAAAAAAATCAAACAAGGAGTATATGATTCAAAGACTTCTCATTATATGGTCCTTCCAGACTCTTGAGTTCTACCAGGGTCAGAGTTAGGGGATTCAAATTAGCGGTTAAGTGCTTTTTCCCAGGACACTTTTTGTTTCATTGACCTGCAACCAAATGCTGTTAGAGATTTTTTATATTCACCAATGTTCTCATCCAAATGAAACTGTGCAGGTGATGCTTCTATCACAGAGAATCAAATACTTAATTTAGGATGCCAGAGATTTATGAGGCCTATCGGTGCTGAATGCAGGCATCAAATAAATCCTTAGATGAAAGGGTCTGACAAGAAAGTGCCTGTCACACACGTGCCCCTCTAGAGTTAGAGGGGAATATAAGTATTCTGGCCTCCAGATTACATTTCTCATAAACTCTAATGCAGGGTTGCTCATCAAAGCCAATGGGGTCACATGCTGTCCCTCCAAATACTGTCACCAAATGCATCACTTCTGATATTGCAGAAGAGAGCCAATTTGGTATATGGTTAAGGCATCAGGCTAGAAACCTGGAGACTCTGAGTTTTAGTCCTGCCTTAGACACAAAGCCAGCTGGGTGACTCTGGGCCAGTCCCTTTCTCTCAGCCCTGGAAGGAGGAGGCAAAGGCAAGCCACTTCCAAAAATGCTGCCAAGAAAACCTCTGGACTAGCGCAGGCAGTTGCCAGGAGTCAAGACTGTCTCGAAGGCACCAAAAAAACAAAACAGAATAATAATATATAATTGAATTAAACCAAATTTATTTTTGTCCTGGCTCTGCAAATTTGGACCACAGCCTCAGGCACGCCACTTAGCAGCCAAGAATGAGCCTCGACCTCAGAAAAGTGGTGCCTTCCTACACTAATTCATTAGTCCTTTCCATATACAGCTGAAGGTAGGATGTAGAAGCTGGAGCTGTCAGCTGAACTGGCAAGAGGGCACCTGGAAGACTTCTTGATCAGCTCCTCCTGCTGAGTCCTCCTTGAGGACGAGCATCCTTAACTGCGGTTGTGCACTATGTCTTGTCCAGATACGCCTCCCGAAGTGTTCCGAGCGCTGGCTGAGCTGGGCTATACTTCCTTCCGGCCAGGACAGGAAACAGCAGTGATGAGGATACTCTCAGGTAAGACGTAAAGAAGCAAAAAGTTACCCTTAACTAGATGGATCCTGGCCGTTGTTGCTGGTGGCCAGACGCTTCTAGCAAGCCTGACTCCTGAAGGACAAGCAGGTGGCTCTCGGCTGGCTTTGGTTTGTCCTAGTCTCCTGACAGGGCCTGGTGGGGTGACATTGGCACCAATGGGTGCCGGGCACAAAAGGTATCTGCTTTTTTCCTGGAATGCTTGTGCCACTGCACATGGGAGAAGTCAGGACTGCCCCCTGGTGAGTCTCCGTGGTTACCTGAAGCCGCCTTCTGTCTACTGACAGTAGGGTCCAGTGAAAATGCACATTTTGGATTATGAAGCATCGTTTTGTGTTGCAAAATGAATGGAAAGAGAAATATAAAGTGGTGTGGCACCTTCTCTATTTTTCTGAGCAAGACGTGGCCTCTATTCCCCAACCCTCTATGCATATATCAGGTGAAATTCCTGTTTTCTACTATGTCTGCTCTAATATGTGAGTGGGCACTGTGCATCCTAGCTAATTCTTTAGACTGACTCGCCTCATAGGACCTCTGTAGTCAATTCCCTGCCAGCAACCCTTGAACTGACAAGCATCCTGGAGCTGTCAGAAATGGACACCTAGCTCTAGTGGGGGTTTTTTTTTTGCAATTTGTTGGATAAATGTTTTTCTCTTCTTGCATTCACAAGATCTCTTGGAACCCTTCCTGGTCTTCAGGGAAGTAGGTTCAGGCTAAATGTTAGGAATTTTTCAAAAGTATGGTCAGTCAGTGAGTGGAACAGGCTGCCACGTGGAGTGGGGAGTGTTTCACGGAAGGTCTTCATATAGAGGTTCAGCGGTCATCCGTCCAAGGTGCTGTGATGAACCCTGCGCTGAGCAGGGGGTGGGACTTGATGACCTCTAGGGTACCTTCTAACTCTGCAATTCCGTGCGAGTGCCAGGCCCAGAGGAAGGCTCCCACGGCTGCTGGCTCTGAGGCTGACTCCGTGGATGTTGTTCTCCTGCAGGGCTCTCCGCCTTGGTGGTCTTGTCAACGGGAATGGGAAAGTCTCTCTGCTACCAGCTGCCTGCATATCTGTACAGCAAACGGGCCCCCTGTATCACTTTGGTGATCTCTCCCTTGGTGTCACTGATGGATGACCAAGTAAGCTGGAGGGTGCCCTTGGCTTGGGAGCTTGGTGTGGTTGGGCCTGGAGGGCTTTAGAGGTGACAACCAGCACCTTGAACCGTACCTGGAAGCAAACTGACAACCAGTGCAGCTCGCGAAGCAGAGGCGTTACATGGGCGTATCGAGGCATGTCCCTCACGGCACGCGGCACTGCATTCTGGACCAGTTCAAGCTTCCAGGTGGTCTTCAAGGGCAGCCCCGTGTAGAGTCAGTAGTCAGTGAGGGGTCAAAAAATGTAACTGGGTATAAGCAGCATACTGATGATACCAAACCCCAAAGCAGCGGATGAGGCAGTGGCTGGGCTTGGAGAAGGACTGGGAGGAGGAGGAGAAAGGCAGCTGCTGTTCCAGGTGGGGGAAAAAGAAGGTGAGAGAGAACGAGGATAATAGGGAAAGAGAGTGGCACTGACAGCTGATGGAAAGTAGTGCAGGCCAGGGACATTGTAGCTTCACAAGGCAGGCAAAGGGTCAATTCAGCGTTTTTTTCTGGGGAGAAGTTGCAGCAGGAGGAAAAGCAGCAGGGGCTTGGCTCCTGTTCGATGTGCAGGAGAGGGTTCTGGCTTCCTGACCCTGGTTGACCATGTTTGCCTGACTCTGAATGAGGTGCGGTCTGCATTTCTTGCAGGTCTCTGGCCTTCCTCAGCGCCTGAAAGCAGTTTGCATCCACTCCAACATGTCAAAGGCTCAGAGGGAGGCTGCGATGGAGCGGGTGAGCCAACTGTATGGAGGCAAAGCCTTCTTGTTGTAACTGAAGACTGCCCTACCTAGGACCCTCCAGATATGCTACCCTGCCAGGCCCTCCATTCCCGTGCAGTCTAGGAACTGTGGAATTTGTGGTCTCAGTTGGGGTAGGGTCAGGTCGCTGGGGTGTGTTTGGGTTCCTGCCAACCTCTGGTTTTGAACTTATGCAGTAAATAATGAAATAATCCTTAACCTTTGTAATGTTTCAGAATGTTCATAGCACTTGTTTACAAGAACGTGGAGTAACATAAATCCCTTATTTTTCTCCCTGTTGCAGATGGGTGGGGAAGGGCTGAGGCTCAGAGGCAGCCTGGCCTAAAGCTCCTGGAGGGTTTGCGTTGGAGACTTGATTCAGACCAGGAACTTTCTCATTCCCAGTTTGACCCTTCAGCAGGGGGCTAATGAAGGGGCCCTGTTGCATTTGGTTCTAAGCTGCAAGGAGCTGACAATTTTAACCTTAGGACAGTTCCATGGGAGATTTAAAGGGGGTCGAGGGCAGCTTAAACCATGTCTACCACCAGCAGGACAGAAATTGGGTCAGTCTCCTCCTGTTGCTCAGGAAAGGGGTGTTGGCAGGAGGCAGAAGAAAAGTGGGCAAGGGAGATATTCAACCCTGCCACACAAGGCTACGGCTGAATGTCCAAAGCTCAGCAGGGTTGCAATAAAAGCCAGTGCCCCTGACCATCTGGGTTGTGTGCTTGCAGGTAAAGGCCGGGAAAGTCCAGGTGCTCCTGCTCTCCCCCGAGGCCCTGGTTGGGGGGGGGCTCTCAAGTGCCAGCTGCCTCCCTCCTGCAGATCAGCTCCCCCCTGTGGCTTTTGCCTGCATCGATGAAGTGCACTGTCTGTCCGAGTGGTCTCATAACTTCCGCCCTTGCTACCTCCGGCTCTGTAAGGTACAGAAGAAGGCTTTGCATGGAGAAAAGTGAGTGGAAATGTGGGTTGGGGAGCAGGGAGGAGTGGCTTGAGGGGCCTCTGAGGTCAGTGACACTGGGCAACCATGCCAACATCCCGTGAAGTCGTCTTGCGCTCTCTCAGCCTCAGGGTGTTTCTAGAGGAACTCAGTGGCCAGAAGCTTCCTGGAGAGTTGGAAAGAGTTTGAAGAGGGCTGGGCTCTTGGAGCAATCCAGCGGGTAGAAGTAAGGAGTGGGTATGGGGAGCAGGCCCTCAAGTGGGCAAGTTTAGCTTGCAGAAGAGGGAAGACCGCTAGAAGATGTAATAGCAGTCTACAACTATCTGAGAACAGACCTGTTCTCTGTTAAAAGTGAGAGCAGGACACAAGCCAGCAGGCTGAGGTTAAAGAAGATTCAGGCTGACTATTAGGAAGTGTTTTCTGAAGGTAGCAGCTGTAAGCAGTCTCTCTAGAACAAGAGTGGACTCCTCCTAGCTGGGAGATTTCAAATAGGCTGGATGGTCACCTGTCAGAGTCAGTTTGGTGGATTCCTGCATTGAGCAGGGGTTGGTCTAGATGACCTCATAAGAAAGCTCCCTTCCAACCCATACCTTCTGTGATTCTAAGTGGGAGAAACTCCCCATCTGCAGTATTAATTGGGGAAAAAAAACAGCAGAAGGGTTTGGCTCAGGGTTTGTGGCCATGTAACTGTTCAGAAGAAATGCTTGTTGCTTTTGGTTGCAAGATCGTTTGTCTGGGAAAATGTGCTGAACTCATTCCAGGGAGCGACACAGAAAGAGAAAGAGTACCACGGAGCATATGAAGGGTAGGGAGAGCCCTGAGCAAGAACAGAGTGCTCTCTTCCCATTCTGAAGCACTCCGCAGGCACCTTAACTCAAAGGAGGCCAAGGTAAAGATGTTAGGGGAGATCATAAGTCTTCTGGTAATTTGAGCCGCCGGCCCCCCCCCCCGCCCAACAGATCCCTGTAAACAGAAATGGAATTCTGCTTGAAAAGGACTGAAAAAATAGTAGTGTACAAATAGGTCTTTGAGGCTGTGCTGTACTTTAGGACAAGGAATGGCCATGTAAGTAAAATAATTTTTAAACAGTCACATGTGATAATAAATCTAAGTATGATGCCCCAACATTGGGAAGGCTGGGCTACCGAAGACCTGCCTTCATCCTCATTTAATGCCACTAGCGATGAGTAAGGGGAATTGCAATTCCCTTTGAAGCGATTAAGATCTTGCACAAATAAGCTCTCTTATCAAAACTTTCCTTTTCCACTGGGAAGAGCAGTACACGATGTGCAAAGGGGTGCGTGAGCGTGAGTTTCTGAGGTGAAGGTGGCATTTTTATTTCTCCAGCTGGGCATGGATAAGCATACGGCCAGGGCTTTGGCTTCTTGTGCTTCCCAAATTGGGTGACCTAAGCCTAACCATTTCTCCCTGGCAGGTTCTTCGGGAACGCTTGGGTGTGCGGTGTTTGTTAGGCCTCACGGCAACTGCCACCGTTTCGACGGCACAGGATGTGGCCCATCACCTGGGCATCCCAGAGGGCGAGGGGCTGGCTGTGCGTTCTCTTGCAGTTCCTCCAAACTTGTGTCTCTCTGTCTCTACAGACAGAGACAAGGATCAAGTAAGTCTGGAGTCTAGCCAGATGCTTCCATGTAAGATAGCAGGGGGGAGGGGAGGGGCAGGCGGAGTTCAGAAGCCTCCTTTAGCAATGTTGCTAGGTGTATATGTTGAGCTGTGTCTTCCAGAAGCTCACGATAAGGCGGAATCTAAAGGCTTTTCTAAGAAATCTGGTTTTCTCCATCAACAGGAGTCAGGATATCCTGTGCTTTTACTTCCCATCCAGAAGATGCTACACCTTTAGAATGCTTTTGCAGTATTAGTAGCCAGAGGGCTGGAATGGATCTGTCCAGGTTCAGAACTCCGCTGCTTTGGGAGAACTTGCTTTGGGGGGTCAATCTCCTAGAATTGAGAGGAAGGCCAGGCTAAAAATGCAATAAATAATTCCCTAGATAGGAAATGTTTTCCTTCTGGGTATTCTTTTCTCCCATCTCTAACGGCACAAGCATCTTTTCCTAAGCTATCCAGGAAAACAGTTCTGCATCTCTGTTGAAAAAGATTAACTGATTGCAGGCTCTTGTAAGTTTGCTGCAAGGGGAGAGGTTTGGAAGCCTGGACTCAATCATTGTGTATTGCACGCGCCGGGAAGAGACAACACGGATTGCAGCGTTCCTCCGCACGTGTTTCCAGGGGGTGAAGCTAAGAACCCCACCCCGTGAAGAGACAGAGGAAGAGGACCATCTCCCTGGAAAAAGGAAGAAAGCCAAAGGTAGTTGTTGACTGAGGATTATCAGCAGAACCAAGCTGGGGAACAGCTGGGTAGGAAATAAGAAATGTGGCAGAAACTCAAAACAATTATTGTTCTTTCTGAAGTATTTGTTTGCAGCCTTCCCCAACTCAAAGACTTGGAGTGGATGACAATAGATGTATCATAAGCAAGACTACCCTTAAAAGCAAGAAAGTATTAGAACCCCCTTAAGGTTCATCTACACAATGGCTTACTTCCAACCCCTTACCACAACCTCAATGTTCAACTGAAAAAAGCAAAATGTGGTGCTTCTAAAGGATTCTTAGGCTTCCAGAATTCAGGTTAGATACTTGAGAGCCAAAATCATTCTGGTCAGCATGACGATTTTAAAGCAGGGAGGTCTGTTTATAACCCTACGCCATGGTCAGTTAGAAAGACCCAGAATGGACTGTAGGTGCAGACAGGAAGCCAAGAGAGGCAAGAGGCTGGATGTGCATTGCTCAAGGCAGGGTGGATGAGAAAGCAGGCCTGATTCCCATTCAGGCTGCTGCCTTCCACCATCCTGAATCAAAAGCCATTCAAAGTTTGTGTCTGCTGGGAGTGTCAAAACCATGACTTCCAGAATTCTCAGGTTGCATGGCCCAAAACCATGCAAGCTAAGAATATTGGGAGCTGCGGTCTCTGGACTTCTAGAGGGCAGAGGCTGGTTTTAATGTGCATACAAATTATAAAATAAAAATAGCAGGCAGGACATCTGGGAACGTGTCTTATGATTCAGAGGAGTTGGGACTAAGTCACTGGAAAGTCACAGCTTGTTTTTTATTTATAGAAACATCTAACCAGCATATTGCTAAGGCAGCTTTTAAATAAATAAAATAGCTAAAAACATAGATTCTTCCGAGCTTGGATCGTGGCAACTTCATGGGCGTGTTCATGCAGAATATTTTGGCATCAGTATGAATGTGCTCTGCTGTTGCCTTTTTCCAGGATGTCTTTTGGATTTCCTGGCCTAGCCTATGGCACTGGGGTTCCCTGGTGGTCTCCTGTCCCAGCACTAACTTAGTTGCTGTTGTTTTTTTAGTGCTGCCATATGCTGTGAAATATACAGACAACATATTAGAAGCAGAAACATTTGAAAAATGGCACTGTAAAACTATAAACAAGATAAAGCTGTCTACATTTAAAAATTGGGGGAGGGAATTAATATATCTTTGCCTAGTGCCAAAATGATGTCAGAGTAGGAGTCCACTAAGCATCTCCAAAGTGAGCTCCTTCTGGAATTGGAGCACAGCCAAATAGAAATGAAATCTTTCTGCTTGTGGAACACGAACCAGCTTTTTCACCACATTTGAATCCTTGAAACAAGTTGTGGTTTAGTGGGGTGATGTTTTTCCCAGGCTCACAGCGAATCTTGTCTTCATTCTCCTTTGATTTCCACATAGCTAAAAAAAACATCCGCCACCCTCTGAAATGGATTGCCGATGCCTACCATGCCGGCCTGTCTGCCCCTGAACGCCGCCGCGTGCAGAACAGCTTCATGTCCGGACAGCTGCGAGTTGTAGTGGCCACAGTGGCCTTTGGTATGGGTTTGGACAAGTCAGATGTGCGCGGGGTTGTGCATTATAACATGCCCAAGAACTTCGAAAGCTACGTGCAGGAGATTGGGCGGGCAGGACGGGATGGCAGACCAGCCCAGTGTCATCTCTTCCTGAATCCAGAGGTAAGGCATGGCTCGTTTTGTGGGATTTATTCAGAGGAGAACTTAAGCCTGAAACCGGACCATGTGCATGCATCACATGCTTGCGAAGGAACTTGGAATTCTGCATCTGAATCAGATATTCCCATGTAGCAATTTCACGCAATGGGGATTTGGGATGAAGGGAGGAGGGAGGCCCTGAGGCGTCCAGCCAGTTGTAGCGCTGATGGAATGAGGATTTCTTGCTTTTCATTTCTGTCCTCCATCATGCAGAGGCATAGCAGGCTCACACGAGCACAGTGTGTAAAAGTGGCAGTACAAAAAGTAATTAACAAAAATGAAAATAGTCTAGGTCTTGCATAGCTCTGGTGGAGAAAACCAGACATTGCAGTGTTCCTGGAAAGTATTCGGGCTGGAGCCTGGGTGAACCTCCATAAGCACAGAATTCCACAATTATGGAGCAGCCAGTGGGAGTTCTCTCCCAAAGGTTTGACATTCTACTGGCATGATCTTGGCTGTACTTCAAGGTCATGGGGAAGAGGAGTAGGTCTGGTCCTTGATGGAGCCTTCTAAAGCTTGAAGTGTTCTGATGAATTCGGATTGTAATGGTTTTCCAAATTCCTGGACAATATGGTCCTGGTGGAGAAGTCTGGCAGCCTGGATTCATCTGGAAGGGATCAGGTTGGGAAAGCTGGTGCCCTCTGTAGACTGTCTCCTTGTTCTAGCAGCACTGGCTTGCTGATTAGTGCTTGGAAAATAATAGAAAATCACTGGTACTTTATTAATATTTCATTCTCCACTAACCATGAAAGGCAGAATGCCTCATGGAGTACAGTTCAGTCTATTGGGTCTTCTTCCAAGAAGTCATGGCCACATTCCTTATCTGTCCTTACCCTCACTGCTCCCTTGTGAGGTGGTGTTGACACAAATGATGGTCACTTGGCCTTGATCAGAGATTGCCTACCTGATGAAACAAGTGATAGGCGTTTCTACCATTCACAAACTTGGTCTTCTTGCCAGGGTGAAGATTTGCATGAATTAAGGCGGCACATTTATGCAGACACGGTTGACTTCTTCACCATAAAAAGGCTCGTGCAGATGGTTTTCTCACGCTGCAGATGCCAAGAGCTTCATCAGGAGCAGCAGGAACTCAACAAGGTGAGGAAAGAGGAGTGAGCAGGCGTAGGGGAGGACAACTGGCCAGAAACCTCTTTGAAAGCTGCTTTGTTCCTTATGAGAACCAGCATGGTTGGATGTATCTTGTGGTTGTAAGAGCTGATTCAGGCTGTGCAATGAAGAACCACCTCATTTTCTTGCATCATTGAATCCTGTCGTTTTTTTCAAGGCACCCCAAGAATTGCTTGAATGTGTTCCTGAATCTCAGCTGGGGCTTTAGCTGACTTTCAAGAACATGCACATGACCCAAAGGAAAGACCTTAGAGATCTGAGCAGAACAAGGCAGCACCAGCTTCTCCTAAGCCCACAAGGCCTATGAGTCCCTTGATAGCCAGCTGATTGCCCAGATCGGGAGAATTCTGTTTCCTCTTCTTCCTTCTCATTGGCTGCACGTTCCTCTCAAAAGTTTCTAGTCCAACCACACTGTTTTCTTCCCTCATGTTGTGTGGCTTGGGGGGGTTGAAGAATCCAGTTGCAATATCAGACATTAGCCTAAAACTCTGCTCCCAGAGAAAGAGATTTAAGCCCAGTAGGACTGTCTGACTCTCTGGTTAGCCCATCCCTCTGTGCTGGGGACTCGAGATGAAAGCTGGACTCTCTGCCCACCCCATTACTCTTGTACATGACCAAAACGTTTTTAATCCCCAGGGCTGTGAAGTGGAGGATGCGGAGATGCTGACTGCCCAAGAAGGAAGTTCAGAAAAGCCACTTGACCCAGAAAATGGACAGTCGCGATTATGTTATAAACATGAGAGAGCTGTCCCTATTCAACAGACTGTGGAAGCTCTGGACATCCGAGAAGAAGGTGAGGACCTCAGGTGTTAGGAATCAGAGAGTTGAGAATTGTCTTCCTGAAGCTTTAAATATGAAATAAAACTAATCTTGTGGAAGCAGGGGAGTGGCCCTCCATGTCTGGCTGTTCAGAATGGCCTGAGAAAAAGAAAGAGTTGAAGAGGTTTTCTGTACCTTCCTTGATTAATCATGCTGCCTCAATTTCTTCCTTATCTGAAGAATCCAAATCTGATTCAGGATAACTATCAGCCAGTATTTAATAAGATACTGGAAAACATAGTGCCTTCTCAAATCTAACTGGTTTTGGATTATCCTAAGGGTTGGGCATAATTACAGATTGATTTCTAGCTTGGTTTTGGAATAGAAGCAGCCTGGGAAAATATTTTTTTTACCATAGGATTCTCTGGAAGCTTAAGTAATCTAGACCTTGATCCATCTTGAGCAGGAGGGCTGGTTTCCTAGAGCTTGATTTTTTTTAAAAAAATTTCTGAGCTAAACAAAGACGGCCTAGCTCCTTTGTCAACAGATGGCACAAGTCTGATTGCGGAAACTGGGGTGGGGGTGGGAGCGTTTCCAGCAGATGGATGGAAAGCACTAGCGAATATGCTATCAAATGGATAGGGCAGTGCTTGTTCCTGTCCACCTAACAGATGGCATTTGTCATCATTCAGGTATAGAGACACTTCTGTGTTACCTGGAACTGCACCCCTGTCACTGGATAGAGCTGCTGCAGCCTGCCTTTTCCTGTTGCCGGGTTTCATGCTACGGAGGTCCTCAGCAGCTGCGGGCGGTTTCTCGAAGGTGAGGGAAGGAGGGAAAGGAACAGGACAGCGTGAGGGCGGGTAGGGAAATTCAGAAACAAGGCTGTTTCCCAGCAATCACGCAAATCCAGCAGTGCTATTTATTTTTGCAGGCCAAAAATTTGGTGTGCAGAGTTGGAGGTTGAGGATGAGAATGAGGATGATTTGTTATAGCTTCCCCAGTCCAAAAGATTCTGGGCAGCTTACAACATCCAATATACAACTTAAAACTATTAAAAACAGCCACACAGCGTAACAGCCTGGACGACAACAACAATAAAAACCAAACATGACAGACCTCTCCTAGCACATAAGGGCATCACTTTTACTGTAGAAGGGTTTGCTGCAGTTGGCATTTTGGAGCAATTGGCTTGAACATGATATTGCTGTTGTACAAAGATGCAGCTGAACTGGGGGTGGAAAGTGCCTAAGTCAGACTGTTTTAACCAGTTTTCCTCCACTCTGGGAGAAGTTTTTTCATTTATTTTAGTGGCTTATGAGCCATTCCAGTCAAAGCCGATTCTTCAGACTGGCCATCCATTGCCATCTGTCAGTGGCAATGGAGTTACTCGGGCAGTGTCTTTCAACCTTGGCAACTCAAAGATGTGTGGATTTCAACTCCCAGAATTCCCCAGCCAGCATGGAAGTTGAAGTCCATCCATCTTCGGATCTGAAGTCCACGCATCTTTAGATCACCAGCATCAGGCAAATAGGCGGCCATGCCCAATGTGTGCTCTGCTGCACACGTGAGAGCAGATACCATTGGTGCAAGTCCATGGTCACAAAGCCTGCAGATGCTCCTTAGACAATCTCAGGGTGGACACTGAAATCCCCCAGGACATGGAGCCATGGGCCACTGAATGCCGTGCCTAGATCACTCTGGGTAGTTCAGGAGACACTGCTAGGCAGCAGGGTGGATAGTGCACAAACTGTCCTGGTCAACCACAGCAGCTCTCATTGAGGAGCAGCCATCAACAAGAGGGGATTTGGGTTGGCCACTCCAAGTTCCTGCCTTCCAGTCCTACCTAGCTGGGCTCGAAGGGATGAATCATCCCCTCGTCTGTCAGCTGGGTCAGCGCTTTCATCCAGCATTAAATCCTGGATCGTCGGTGCTTTATCAACAGCTGATCTGGCCTCGAAGACCGGGCTGCTTCCTCAGGGCTAGGGCCAGGCTGTGAGTAGAGCCCAGCATGTATGGTTTGATTGGATTATAGCTTTTAGGGGCCTCAGCTTTGCTGTTACGTTGTTTTATTATTTTTGGTTTTTATGTCTTGCATTATGAAGCTCTCAGAGTCATAAAATTGAGATGGGCCACTATATAAATTCTGTATTGGTAGAATATCAGGATTTTGAGGTTGGAGTATAGAAAAGGTATCGGTGTTTGTTCCATTCCTGCAGTGAAGTTTGGTGGGTAAGCATAGGCTGTTGACTCTCCCGGACTCCTCACTTGCTGCCTTGTCCGCCTCCAGGTGCCCTCCCCTTGCAGTTTGCTTGGCCCAGCAGCGTCTAAAAGGGATCCAGGCCAGCCAGGCCAGCTCTGTGGAGTTCGACATCATTGAGCTGGCAGATTCTATGGGCTGGGAGGCCCTGCCTGTTAAACGAGCTCTGCAACAGCTGCAGTGGAACCCTCAGTGGCAAAACGGTAACCCAACGGGGAGCTTGGTCGACTGGCCGGCAGAGGGCCGCCACGGGAGGCTTTTTACCTGAGCTAGTTCTCAGTCATGGAGCAGAAAAGAAGCAGAGGACCTGAACTGTGTTTGCCACTCATCCCTTGCTTTCAGAATTCATGAGCACCAGAGATCTCTCTTGCAGTCTGCTGCATTTCAGGGAATATCTTTCCCCACCAAGAGACAGGGATTCAGAATGTGCTGGAGGACTGGGTGATTTAAAGACATTTTTCACCATTCTTTTCTTCCTGCTCAGGTTCCCAAGTGTCTAGGAAGAGTAAGATCCTGGTGGAGTTCAAGGAGCTCTCCTTTCATCTGCGCTCCTACGGGGACCTCAGTGATGATGAGTTGGATGCAGTGTGTAACTTCCTGCACCAGCGAGTGATGGATCGTGAAAAGGCAGCCCTCCACCAGCTCCAAGTGTGCTTCCAGGCTTTTCAGAGGTGGGCAATGGCAAAGAGGCCATGTAAACCCCACAGGAGGCTGGGTGGATGTCTGACAAAGTATCTCTCTTCCACATGACATGCTGAGGACAAAAGAATTAAGTATTCAGTAGAGTGAAGGGAAAGGAGACAAACTTTCATTCTAATAACTTGAGGGGTGCAGCTCCCTTAATATATATTCAGCAGGGAATCTTGCTTTCAAGCTTTTCTTTTGCTCTTGCTTTCTCTCTATTTCCAAATTGTCTTTCTGGGGAACCCCAACATGCTTGAAACATACTCTGCAATTTTGCTTTTTAAAAAAAATCTGGACCTCGATTTCATTTCCGTGATGAAGGGAGAAATGACTTTGAGGCAGACAGAAAAAAACAGAGGTTCTTTGGAGATACAAAATGGATGTGGAAGCCACTTGGGAAAAACGGCTGCTCTGTTTTGTACAGATCCCAGTTTCCCCATTGTTTCTATCAGCAGTTTTTCCATCTGCTTAGTGTAACCTGTGGAAGGACGGATGGAAGGAAGCCACTCCAATCTGTCATGACCCTGGGCAGTGTACAAAATAAGACAATAAAAATAAATGCACTGTATACTGTATATATATAACCATAAAAAATAGATTGAAACACTACATAAAGAGTCCGTCACCCATGTTAACCCAAGGCCTGGAGGGACAGCCAGGTTTTAAAGGCTTGTTTAAATAGAGACAGGATGGGAGCTGTATAAATCTCTTCTGACCCAAAGCGTTAGCACACATAACCTCTTTGCTCTAAAGCAGTGCTTTTCAACCTCAGCAGCTTTTAAGGTGTGTGAACCATCTTCCAGAATACCCCCAGGTGGCAGGAAGTCTACGCATCTGAAAATTGCTAAGGTTGAGAAACACTGCTCGAAAGGGTAAGTTAGGTTTTGGGTTAAGAACCTTCCTTCAAGACCTTTAGAAGAGGTCAGCATCAGAAGCAAATGCCCTTACTGAATTGGATCTTCCCCAACTGGATGCCTGGCAGGTGTGGGGCTGTGCAGACATCTTCTCCTACACAGTTTGAGAGGTGTTTTAGGAGGGTCGTGGTACGCTGCACTCTTCCCTGTGACTTTGTAGAGAGCAATGCCAGAGGTATTGGCCCACTGGAAGGCCCACTGGTACGTAACAGGGAGCCTCTGGGTTTCGTTCTGGAATGGAAGATCAGCTGGGACCACGGCTTTAAGATTAGAGGTAGTTGGATTCAAAACAACCCTACAAAGTTCTTCAAAGGCATAAGTGGTAGAAAAGCATATAATAAAGCTGCTGTGTGAATGAAATACCTTCTTATTGAGATTCTTTGTCTCCAGAATCTGACAAAACCTGTATAGATAGATGGACATGGATGCATATTCACTAATGTCTTTTCAGATGATTTCAAGACAGTTAACAATTATTAAAATACAGGCCATCATCTCTCTCCATTTGGATTGAAGGAGTAGATCGCTTTTATCAATAAACAAATAGGCTGAAGAATAGCTTTTATTTTAGAGCTGTAACTATGCTGAACTCTACCGTATAGTGCAGTATTAATGCAGTATCAGGGGTTGTGCAATGGTGAATGGAATGTGAAGGTTGTATTTTATGTGTTTTATGTGTTCTATGGTTTTTATATTTTTAAAGCTGCACTGGGGTGGCATTTAATTTCATTGTACGAGAAGTACAATGACAATAAAGATTACTACTACTACTACTAC